TAAAATGACATTGTTGGAAACATTTGGGATAATGTCAGTACAAAACTCAACTACATATAGAATATAGAGCTAGAGTTTATAGACAGTTTAGTGAGGGAATATTACAGATTATACCCTTTATAAGAGGTGCCTTAGAAAGTGACACCAAATCTTTGAAGATGGATAACCAGCCTGAATAAAGAGCACTTCCACGCCTACTAACATGCAGTGTATAATCATAGGCAATATTAGGGCATATTTAACCAGAGACAGGATTCTACAGTATGTGTAAACATATGGCGAAATAAAGACTGTCTGCTAAGGGTGTGGAAGTGTTAGCTTAGCTTGTTAGACAAGCTTTCAAAGATTCAAAGGGCTCTCAGCAGCTGGGACATTTCAGCACCTACTGTTGACAGTACGTCTTACAAACCGAGCCAGGGATTCAGTCACAAGCAGGTGTCCTCTTGTTTCTGGGCTGCAGGTCAAACATCTTCTACCTGTCGTATCGTTTAACGTTAGCTCCAACATGCTCCACAGCAGAGAGGAGCCAATTTGGGCATTTTATCGGCAAAATTGTAAAGTAGGTACAACAGCATTCAAAAAAAACATCAAATAAATGATTATTATTTCTATAAGCTGAAAATGTACAAACCGAGCAGGCTTGGGGAGTAACAGATTACATGTAACTGAGTTACATAATCAGAATACATAAAATACATTTACATTTAGTAAAAGTGGGGAATATTTAGCGGGATTTCAATTTTAAAATACAGCCGTTTTTTCCCTCTAAACAGAGGACATATTTTTTTATACAAAACATTTTTTCCATTTCCATCTTCTTTTCAAAGGTTGCATTGTTCTGTTGTCTTATAGAACACACTCACATCAATACTTCTTATTGTAATTGTATTAATGTTGTATAATTTATTACATTACTTTAATATTATGATGTTTGGATGAGGTTAGTGGCTACATTTTTAAACAGGTCCGATTTTTATCGGATAAGTAACCCTTTCCAACCCTTAGTATAGTATGCACCTGTGTCTATACAGACGGCAACTGTGTCCATATGAAAAAAACAACAGGCTACAGGTCAGCTGTAACATATCTGTACTGCACTACTTCACGTTAGCCAACGCTATTCGTTTCCTTTCTTGTATGCAGAGCAAGTAACAGCGTTTCCTGTGAACGTCTCGTACTCTCGTTTCAAACACTGCACTTTCCGTCTGTTTGTCCCGTGAAAGGTCGCGTGCCACAGCCGACACGGTAAGGCACGAGCGAGCTGTCAGCTGACGTTGAGAGAAAACACGTTCGCGAGACTGTCACATTAAAGGAGCTGTCCGCGCCCTGTTCGCGAGCTAGCTGGTGTTTGCCAATGAATTTAACCACAGAACAATTAGCCTAGCATTATTTACATAAGACTGAGCCATATAACCGCATATAATTACGGTTTCTAGCTTAACACGGCAGTGACCGCCTTACAATGGAGCACAATTAATGGAAGGTTAAAACTCACTATTCGGGATTCATGGTTTCAGTCTGGACGTGTTTTTCTGTCGGCGACTCGACTCTTCCTTCCTACTCCGGTCAAAAAAAGATGACTTGTAACGTTAGGTCCCGGTATTCGAGGCACTTAGATGGCTGTTTTACCGTCTCCGTTACTGTCTCCTGGTCGTTCCACTGTATTCAACCTTTACTGTTTCATATGTACTTGGTTCTAGCGGACATATCTCTGTTTCCTCAGGCTGAGCTGCTCTATTTTACCCTTTTTTTCCTGCCTTTCTGTGTCCGTTGCTTGCTATAGGCTCAAGATGGCTGCGCAGGTGCGGTAGTGACGTGGAATGACGTATCACTACTTAGAAAGCCGGACAAATCTAGAATTAGAGCAGTGCTGGGATTTGTAGTTTAGTATAAAGAAAACAGTTTACAAACACAACATGATATTTTATTTTTATTTGTCTTACTAATCTGTATATACATATATTTTACACTTGCTTTGGCAATGTAAACATCTGTCTTCCAAGTCAATAAAGCCCATTTGAATTGAATTGAATATACACAACCCTCCATTCTGAGGACAACAGAATATACCGTTACACGTAAAAATGTCTAAACTGGCAAGCAGCTGCAATGTTAATATTTAAAATCACATGTAAAAAGTTAAACTTGTGCCATCAAGTAAAGTTTTTGTGTTTTTCTAGATGAAAACTTATCATTAAAAAATAAAATATATGTACTTTTATAGTCTAAATCTCACTTTACAACAGATTTTGTTGGGCTTTCCTAAAATAACACATGGAAACTGTCAGTCACAATATCTTACTATTAGAATTAGTCATGATCCAGTATAATTATACAACTTGCAGACACAAACCCCACATTTGATAATGTTCTTACCGCACTGTGAATTTCATCCAATCATACTGCTGTCAAAGCTAAAACCCTGGAAGTCAGCATTTACAGGCTCAAGAATGCAAGAATAGTTTCATAAACATCTATGGAAGACCATTTGTGCCAGAAAAAGAAAGAACTGAATGTTAGGAATGACACAAAATACTGGTAGGTCTAAATTAATGTTACAATTATGAGATAATAAGTCTTAATTTTGAGATGGTAAATTAAAATGTTTTACTGCATAATCATTATAATTATGACATCAAAAGACAGAATTGTATACACACATACAACATTTGTTCACTTTAATACAGAATTACATTTTGTAAATCTATATTTTTAGTGATTGTCATTCCCTTTATCTGTTGAGTCAGTTATATACTTAAGATAGCCATCTACTTCCACATGCTCATCTCTGGCTGCAGCAGCACCCACGGGAGAAGGCAGGTAGACATTTTCCCATCTTCCCCCAGAGTCTGTTTGTGGATCCTGAGAGGCAGCTGCAGCTGCAGCAGCAACCTCCAGGCCTTGGTTGATGTAGCTGGCCTCCTGGCTGGCCTCCAGAACCGGCAGCTCCGACAGAAGACCTTTCAGTGTCTCGCACAGTTCCCTGAAGCCAGGCCTGCGGGCCGAATCCTTGTCCCAGCAGCTCCGCATGACTTCATAACTGTGTTTGGGGTGAGATGGAGGAGGCAGGGTGAGGTGGATGTAAAAGAATATTCCCTATAGCAATGGCTTAAAACAAAGTGTGACCCATTGTTAAAGGTTTCATATATCTATGAGTTGTGAGTGTTTTAACCAAAGTAATCATCTTCAAAATGTGAAAATGTCCTTTCAACATAGACTAGCCTAGCACATAGCATATCTAAGCTAAGGAAAGTAGTAGTAGTTAGACATAGTTGACAAAGGAGGAGAGACCCATAGAACTCATTTCCATTCACATATCTTAAGGTCAGAGGTCAAGGGAACCCTTTGAAAATGACAATGCCAGTTTTTCCATCACTAAAATTTTGCCTAACTTTGGAGCGTTATTTAGCCCCCTTCCATGCTAGCATGACATGGTTTGTACCAATGATGGCGCGTTAGCGCATACTAGTTTTATATGATACTAGCAGTCACTCTAGCTTCCATAATATAAGCCCGCTGCAAGCTCTGAAGACAAGGTGGCAGACTGGCAAGAGGGTAAGGGCTAAATCTCCCTCATCAAATACAAAATGGGAGAAAATGGCTCCCTGACAAGCACGGAACTCACAGTTCCTGGTCACAGTCCTCAGCGTGGTTTAAGCCTGTGTCCGGACAGCAGCAGGGTTCCAGCAGCTCATGGTTGTGAACTCCAGGATAGGGGCGTCCTTCCCCGGACACAATCTCCACATGGCTTCACCCCAAACGACCACTAAAATACAGGGGCAAGATAACATAGTGCGAAATTCACACCCTCAGTTAAATTTAAAGAAATTAGAATCTAATCTCAACTTTCAAGCTGTTTATCATGCTGACTATCTTGATGGCTTCCACAGTAAAACTCACACGGTCACTTTGGTGGTGCTAGACTGACTCAGAACAGCCGCTCTCCATTGCCATCCACTTGATTTGGCACACGGATAGCTACTTTTTGGACGATAATAATTGCTGCTGTAGATTTTCTTGCGACAAGCCGAATCAGCCACACACACCCTGGAGGTCATCACCCAGCCTGCTGGATTAAAAATACAATAAATCAGCAGCAGGTATGCAACACTCTTTGGGAGTCAGTAAGTTTTATATAACCATCTCCTCTGTTGGCCCTTAGGTGTGCTTT